AGTTTTAGAAGACTTTTCAGAATGTTCTCAGTTGTAATATAGTCTCTATTTGTGATATGGAGAAGTAATGAAATAGTCACACATCATCAAGTAACAAATGTGCCCAAAGTACTTTTATCTCTCTCTTTAAGTCTCTTATCTTTCTACAATTCTTTTTTTTCTATCTGTTGAAGAGCCCTACTAACTAGTAGACACTTGAGAAGCAAGCAGAGGACTGTAGAAACAGAAAATGAACAAAATAATAAAAAATACGGTCAATTAAATAATAACGGTATCAGTCAGTCTGCTTTTAAACAATACATGATATAATTTATGTATTTATTTATCATACCAGTTTCAAGTATATGTAAATCTAATGGGATTATAATCCAGTCATAGTTAAACTTAGTCACATTTAGAAATATCTGGGTACATTTGTGCAAAATTATCTGCCAGGGAAGCAAATGGACAAAGTACCACCAGTAAAGGTAATGTTATAAAAGTGGCATTTCAAAACTAATGCTGACAACATTTTTATTGCTAAAATGTTTGTTTATTTATCACTGTTCTCTCCGTAGAGTTCTTATGTGCTTCCACCACTGTCTCCAAAAGAAGTGCCTATACACCTTCAATAAAAATAGCTTTAGAAGAAATGATTCCTGTGATCAGATATCAAGTAATTTTGGACTATAACTCCTCAAAGCCCTACCCAACATAAGCAGTGGCAAAGTCTTCTGGAAGCTGCAGCCGAACCTTGGGAACAACTGTTTTCTATATGTAGCCAAAAACTCTTCAGTCATTTTCCTATAGATTTCTTTCATAATCAAAGTACATCTATCAAGAAAAATTTTCTTAGCAGGAGGATTCTAGCTTCTTTTTAAAGTTGTTTGCTTCAAACACTAAAAGCATTTTTCCAACTTCTAACAATACTTCTAAATCTCAATGATTTATGGGAGACTGGAAGCTTCCTTATGTGATTATTCCACAGGGGGATTCACATTTAAAGAAACTTATCTGGTCTCTATGACCTGAAACAGATATGTAAGGAGGAGGTTTGAGTGAAGCAAAGGGAACTGTCAATACTCATTCACTTTGCTTTCTGTAAAAGCTTCTACAGTGAAGTTGTACAGAAATCCATGTGAAAATCATTAGCTATGTATAGCCTATGTTGCTGGTTATGCATGAGTATGTTTTGCTATTAAAAATTCTGTATTTTGTGGGATTTACAGTCTGTTTAGGGAAGTACCAGATTGCAGAAGGTAGTTTTGAAATTACAAAATGAGCACTTCTCAAGAGTCAAATGTACGGTTAGGGGTCAACAGTGAAGGAATCCTGTAAATCCTACTGCTTATGTCTGAACTAAAGATTTACAGACTAAACTAATACTTGCTAATTCAACCAACTAAATATTTTAAATATTTCATTTTTAGCACAAACAAGAACTTAAACTTTCTATTTCTAATATTTAACATTGATCAATTATTTTTCATATCTAACATAGATAGCCGCCTAGAGTGGTCGAAATGACTAGATAGGCGGGGTATAAATACAATAAATAAATAAATAAATAAACAAACAAACAAACAAACAAACATTCTAAGTTCTGAACATTTGGTCTTCACTTGCAAGAGCTTTTTGTAGAGGGGCAGGTAAGATAAATACCTGGCTTGTTTACTGTATACTGTACGTAATACAAAATTGTTTCTTTCCCTACAAACCAGACGAACAAACTGTGCTAATAAAGCTTTTCTTGAAACTAAAAAACCAAAAGAATCTAGAAACATCTAATGAAATTCAGCCAAAAGGAAAGTCAACGTATCAAGATGTGATTAAAAATGGATTTTATTCACTCAAAAAAAAATCAGCTGCAGAAATAATGAGTTTCAATAACTTTTAAAGAGTAATTTGAGCATTTTTAAATGAATTTTTCTTTTCTACGTCCTGAGACTTGACATTTGTAGACTGCAAGGAGTGAGAATAGTCAGTATAAGCTCTCTTCAAGTGTTAGGCCTAAAACTGTAAAGGACTCTAATAGTGGTGGGAGACTCAGGGACATGTTAGCCTTGACCCCACATCCTCATTCTTCTCAAAAGACAAGGCAGTCCTTTGCATCTTCAGTCTGAAGGTCTGCAGAAGTACTGACAAGTGTGCTTAGGTGAACACACAACACTCTCATATTCAACAACCCTGATAAGGAGGTCTCAATCATGGAACTGCTGCATTCAGCTGAATGTACTCAGACAATATCTCAGCAGACCTTGACACACAAAGATCTGCCATATATCTGGATAGGGTGGAGTAGGGGAAGATGGCACTTAAATGTACTTCCCCCATCCCCATCATTATTACAGCCCTTCATCATTTCAGTGTTTATTTATTTATTTGAAATTTCTTAGCAGGGTGAATCTGATTTAAATATGGTGGATCGTGATTAAGTCATAATTTAAATTTCAAAAATGTGGGGTTTTTTTTTTTGACGATTGAAATAAAAATAGTTTTTCATTAAATTGTGTCTGAAATGAATTTGATCTTTTTAAAAATCACTGATTTTTATCCTACCTTTCTCCTTCAAAAAGGAACTAAGAATTGCATTACTGTAACTCTTCCCCTTAAAAATATTTACAAGGCTACTGGCTTTTACACACACACAATATAAACAGTGTTATCATTTCTGTTAAATCTACATTTAAACAGCCCACAAGGTACACATGATAGCATCTAGCAGTTAGGAGCAGGGCTGTTAGCAGGGAGAAACTTTTAATAGGAATAGGCATTGCTACTTGTCTCAGACAAACAGCCAACACCACTCTCAAGTCTACTGCATTTTTAAAAAGTGTGTCAAACTGCATTTTCTAAAAAGAATTCAAATCTGTGCATTCATTACCAATATTACACCGTTAAAATATGTACTCATTTATAATAATTGGAATTTTAAGACATGCAGACAAGAAAAGGTTTGCAGCATATTAACAAGGAACGAGCTGTATATAATTTTAAAATGTATTAAGAATTAATATAGTTACAACAATCACTTATTCTGTGACAAAAAGACTTGAGGGACTCTTGCATTGTTCTAAATGAGAGGCCTCTTTTAATATATCACAAACCAATCCTGCAAAGTCAGAAGAGCTTAAAAATCACTTTGAAATGGAGCACAAAGGGAATTTTCCAGTGAAGTGGCCAGGGCAGGACACAAAGGCCCTTCTGACTGTGAACACATCCAGCTTTCAAATTCATTTCAGATTTTGTTCCTGAATCCGTTCATTGAACAAGAAAAAAGAGATGAGAAACAAAAATATATATTTTCAAATACACTAGTTAAAATTAGTGTGCCAGCTATGCCTGTTCCTGGAAAGGTCTGATCTGGCCATGGTGCCATAAACCTTAGTTACATCCCAGTTGGACTACTGTAACATACTCTGCATGGGACTGCCTTTGAAAAGTGTTTGAAAACTTCAGTAGGTCTATGATGCTGCTAGACCCTGTCCTGACTGGCAATGGTTACAGGGTGAACTGAAAATCCTTGTTACAATCTGTAGCTACCCAATTTATTTCTGAACACAATTCAAAAGGCTGGTTTAAACTTCTAAAGCCGCAAATGATTGGGTCCAGGCTATTTGAAGAACTGTATCTCTCCATGCCAGCCATACCAGGCTTTAAGATCTTCAGGAGAGATCTTTCGCTCAGTCTTTTTGTTAGATGCCTGGCTACGGAACTCCCTTCTACAGAAGACCAGGCTGTCTCCCTTTGTTTGGTTCATCCACCAGTAGGAGAATTGTTCTTTTATCCTTTTTTGCATGTATGCTTTTAACTTGTTTTAACAGTTTTTATTTTGTGCCTTTCAATAATTAATATATTTAACTATTAAATAATTTGATTTTCATATTTGTAATTCTCTTAATATTTGCATTTTAAACTTTCTAAGCCATGCTAAGTCTCTCTACAGGGAAAGGGATGGAACAGAAAATAAGTGAGTGAGCAAGTAAGTAAATACTGTAATAGAAGAGATTAAGAAGTGTAAATAGCAGATGATATTGACACACAACAGACTACATAGCACTAACACAGAGATGGGAACTAATCCTTGCTACAAAACCAGATACCAGTTCTGTCTCCACATCTATTCTGGCAAAACAATTACAAGCCGCAACACCATCACACACAAGATCAGAGGTGTGTTAATTATTCCTCTGTTAATATGACCTATGCCATCCTTTGCAAACAATGCTGTTTGCACTCTACAAATGACAAACATGTTAATCTCTACACAAGATAATTAATCGACATTAATCTGACATCAGAAATGGCAACACACAAACCCTGTTTCAGTACATTTCAATCTACCTGGTCACTTTCGAAATGTCCTGAAAGTGGTTGTCTTTGAGGGGAAAAATACTACAAAACTAGACTTGAAAGAAAAACAACTAAGATAAATTATATAAGGATACTGGAGACCCACTCAAAAGGACTAAATCTCAAACAAGGCTTCCTAACCAAGTATGACTTCCCAGTTTGCCACTTGTGTCAACAATGCTATTCTTATTTTGTAGACTCATAGACTAGTAATTCAAATTATTTGCACTCTGATAGTCCTATTACTTTACTAATAAGCCACTGTCACTTCATCCATTATCTGTATCCTCACCTGGTCATGGGTCCATGTATACATGTAGAAGTCATATAGCCTCACTCTGATGGTGGTTAGTCTGATGGTGGGGTCTTTATGGTGGCACAACATTTTTGTTTTTTGATTCTTTTTTTGGTCTGACAGCCAATGAAAAATTAGACTTGATAAAAAAACTTAACACCACAGTGCTCTGTTCAAGGCAATATAGAAGAAAACTGAAGGGAGAGGATAGAGTAACTGCCAACTGATGAAGAACACTGGTCACATGATTCCCTGATGGTTGTGTTCCATGCTTTGTGGATTTGGACACTATACTGAATTGAGAAGTAATAGATCACAGCTGTTATGTATGCAAACATCAAAAATACTTATTCTGTTAAAAACATATTTTTACCTTAACAAAGCGACATAATCTGATGGCATCTTCCCATTTTGAGTTGTTTGCATATTCATGAAGTATAGCTGGATAAGGTGAAACGCTAATGTGAATAAGTGAGCCATCAGCTCTCCGGATAGTTACTTGACTTCCAACAAAACTCACAATCTGAGGATTTTTACTAAATTCACTGTTGAGAAAAATTATTACAATCAGAATATACTAGCATTAGTATAGTCTATAGAAGTTATAACTGTGTTGAAATAAAAGACCAAACAATCACAGTAAGAGGGTATATTTTCTAAAACACTATTTACACTCTGTTTGATACTCATTGACCAAGGGAAATAGTTTTCATATATGTGCCCTCCAGATCCTCACCCATGGCTATAAAGGACAGCTTGCAATCATCAAATAGATCATCAAGTGGCATCTTCTCTGACTGCATATATTGCACATTGCAAATACATAGTTGTAGGAGCTAAACTGGCAAATGTATTATTGGTAGAAACCAAAGAGATATAAAATAATAGGTGTAAAATTGTATAGTACCTTGCATCCTTTTCATACAGAGTTTTGGACAAAAGATCTTTGTCTACATATACTGCACTAGGATAGAACCAAATTAGAAAACGTGTATCTTGAAGTCCACAAAGTATGTTGCATGTGTCATTCCACGCCACAGTGTGCACCATTGTTCCTTAGCAGAGAGAAGCAGAAAATATTTGCTCAAGCATAATGTACTATAATATAAACACTAGTATCTTCAGCTCTTCTTTGCCAGTAAATGATTCTCCTTAATATAGTTGTGTATTTTATGAAAAAATGTTTATATTTTACTTCTCATAACTTATGTTTTGAGTCCTGAGAGATTAAAGTACAGCAAACAAGTACATGACCTATTTTTTCCAAGCTCACTGATCTCTGGCCTGTATGCAGTTATGCCTCATTCTTCCTATAGGGTCTCGGAGCCCTCAGTATGCACCATACAGTATGCACCATAACACCATGTGGTCTCCTTGAGTACCTAGCATTCTAGATGACAAAACACTCATTCTCCTCTTATTCATGCTTTGAAGCCGGAAAGTATTTTTATATGTCATGCTAGCTGGATAGCTCAGTACCTGTCTGCAGTGCCAAAAGTGGGGAGTTCAATTCCCCACTACAGTATGTTTCCCTGGCGAAGAGCCACCCTATGTAGCCTAGGGTAAGCTGCAGAGTCTCAGAATAATTCCAGAGGAAGGGAATGGTAAACAACTTCTAAACATTTTTTATCCAGAAAACCCTGGACAGGGTCGCTGTGAGTGAAAATCTATATATACATGCACTGTTCTTATCCTAATTGTATGACTGATGTTCTATTGGTTAATTTTAACTCACTTTTTGGAGTTGCTATTTAAATTTTAGTTAGTAAGTCACAGTTGGGGAAATATGTATAACCTATACAGTATTTTAAACAGAGTTCTAAAGAATATCTCTGCAACCCTAGTGGGTATCTTAAAAATAATATATGCATAAAGCATGAGCTGCTTGTTACATGTAGATTCACTTGCTGCTCATGGTTTTGATGTCAGCGCTGAAGGCCTCCTCAAATGGCACTGCTGACTAATGCAGAGGTGAAGATGATCATAGACAGGACTGGAGTCATAAGGACTTTTAAGACCCCAGGCAATTTATAGACGATCTCAATCCTGCCTGAGGCAGGTATTGTTGCCAACAACATAAGTGAGAGTGTGCTTTCCAAAAGAAAGGATTTCAGCTTCAAGCTTCAGTTCCACTGCATTTGAGCTGAAGGAGTTAAAAGCACCTTTCAAGTGAAGTTTTTATGTCCCTCCTCTACACAAAAAGGGCACTATCCATTGCAGTCTGTGGCAGGGTTACGTCAACACTCTATACAATATTTAAATAAAGCCCTAGGGGCCATGAAATGTGGAGTGAAGATTTTCTAATTAATGATCCAGCATTTCTTTTTTACTGTATCTATGAACTATAAGAACAACAGCCTGAAAGTAAGAACAATGATCTCTACAAATTGATTTGAAATAAGGCTCTCAGAGGAGAACTATCTGACGTGGGTCTGTTCTGCCAGAAGAAATAAAACTGAAGGAAAGGAGTCTTGGAGCATGTGCTGAAATAGGAGGAGAGAAGACCAATTATCAAAAAGGTCTCAGTCTGGAAAAGTCAGAAAGGGCTCTGCAAAAGACAGATCCATTTGTTAAAAGTAAGGTAAAGCTAAATGTTCCCCTTGACATTTAGTCCAGTTGTGTCCAACTCTAGGGCATGATGCTCATCCCTGTTTCCAAGCCATAGAGCCAGCGTTTGCATGAAGACAGTTTCCATGGTCATGTGGCCAGCACGACTAGACACAGAACGCCGTTACCTTCCCGCCGAGGTGGTACCTATTTATCTACTTGCATTTTTACATGCTTTCGAACTGCTAGGTTGGCAGGAGCTGGCACAAGCAACAGGAGCTCACTCCATCGCGTGGATTCGATCTTACGACTGCAGGTCTTCTGACCTTGCAGCACAGAGGCTTCTGCGGTTTAACCCGCAGCACCACCACGTCCCTGTATTCATTAAAGACCACTAGAAAAACAAGCAGGAGAGTGTTACTGCACTTGTATCCTGCTTATGAACTTTTAATAGGCATCTCACCAGTCTGGTCCAGCACAAATTTTTTATGTTTTTAACGAAATGGGAAGCAATCACTTGTTACCATTTTTCATTTGACATTTTAATTTCTAAATTATTGGAGCACCACGGGAATGAGACATACTGCAAATATGATGACAAACCAAATCTTAAATGGAAAGCAAAAGGAGGATGTATGTACAAAATAAAATCCTGTCCAAGCACATTTCACATTCATGCTTAAAAAGCAATTTGAAAGAAATACACACACTTGATCTTAGCCAAAAGGCTGAGAAGCAATACAATATAGTGCAAATTGAACAGAATGAATTGTATTTCTCTTTTGCTAATAGGGGAAGGAGATGCAGGAGGATAAGACTGTATTGAAGAAAGCTAATTCTTACCTATTTTAATAATTTTCTGTTCTTTCCCAAATCTCTTCACAGAAGTTATATAAAGATCTCTATTTTTGTCAATAAATGCTATTTTCCTTTCATTTGTAAGACCCTTCTGGTCTAAGGCAATTTCCATTATTTCTGTCTATAAACAACATATAAATGATATTCTTTAACATATGAGCAACAAATTACAACAAATAAGCATGGTATGTATGAACTAGTTTATTTTCTCAGTTTTTATGGAGAGCTGTACATAATGTATCTGTACTCCTTCTATTATCATAAAAACAAACAAATCCAGTAAGTTGTATCAGTTATTTCAATCCGACAGATATTTAAACCTTGTGTCCAAATTCCATATTGGTGCCCCTGGATTCATCTCGTCTGGATGCCCAGGATTTTGGTGGTGGCCTGGAGTGCATTTGAAGAATTAAAACTAGTGTGCAGCTGTGCCCACTCCTGGAGAGGTCTGATCTGGCCAGTGACACATGCCGTAGTTACATCTGGGCCAGATTACTGTAAGGCTCTCTATATGAGACTGTCTTTAGAAAGTTCTTTGAAACTTCAGTGAGTCCAAAACATTGCAGTTAGATTGCTAACTGAGGCTGGATATAGGGATCATATAACCAACCTATTACAGCAGCTTCCCTGGCTGCCAATCCATTTCTGGGCACAATTCAAAGTGCTGGTTTTAAGATATTAGGGGAGGTGTTTCTTTTGGTTCCACCATCCTCACAAGTGTAGACAGGTGCTTGGTGGGGACATAGGAGAAGGCCTTATGTTGCTGCTCCCAGACTCTGGAACTCCATCCCACATGAGAACAGGCTGGCCCCATCTTTGTTGTCCTTCTGCAAGTAGGCAAAATGTTTCTCTCCAAGCAGGCTTTTCTTTAATGACTGACTAATGGGACCAAGTGTAAAGGCCCAAACAAGAAAGAAAAAAGGAGAAAAGGAGAAAAGGGGAAGAAAAAAGGCTAAGGAAAGCAAGGTGGGAGGTAAGCGAAGCCTGTGCCAAGACAGTTGGTTGGAGGAAGGTGGTGGAGAAAAGTGGTGAAAGTGATGCTTTAACAGGGCTAAAGGTTTTTGTGAGGGGCAAGGGAAGGGATCTCCTAGGTACTGTAGCACAACTTTATTGTATCATTGGCACCAAGCCTCTTTAAGAAATGGTTTGTGGACAAGGAAGTGGTTTGGTTTGCTTCTGTGGCAGTGTGCTTGATGGAGGGAGTGGTCTGCTGGCAGTCTCCTAACCTTTTAAAAAAAACTGAACTGCCCAGGATACACTGAACTCATACTGGTTTTTTTTTCTTTTCTTATTGAGTGTTTTTACTGCCTTTTGAATTGGTTGGAAGATAAGCAAGGTATTACTGCTCTTAGTTAGAGACTGCAGATTGTGGTATCCTGGCTGGAGAAGCATCTCTGTGTAGCCTTTGATACTGATATACACTGGGAGTTTAGTGTGGTGAATGCAACATGTTCAAACTTTGGGTTGTTTGTTTGTTTACTATATTGGTCAGAGTACCGAGGTTTAGGGAGAGATGAGTGGCAGGAGAATGCGATTGTGGTAGCACTGGTGGAGCCAGGAAGAGAAAAATGTCTTGTGTGGGGTGGGTACATACTCTTGTACCGACCAAGGTCTAAGAGAAGTTAAGAGTTTGCTGTTCTACCATCTGAGTGTAGAAGAGGGAAGCATGGCAAGTCCTGGCACATATAGCCAACAAGCTCTTCTCTTGCACATCCTCGCCACCACTACCTTCTCCGCTGCTGGGTATATCCAGAGCCCATACCATTTCTGGGTTATCATCAAGAGGTTCAAAGAGCTAGCTTTCTTTGAGGTTAACATGCCCCTTCTGAACTATCCTACACCCCTTCTGAACTACCCTACTCTGCTTCTAGAGATGGGAGAGAGAGGGTAGGAGAATGAAGATAAGTTCCCTCTCAGTTTCAGCTCAGATTTGCTGCCCCTGCTCTCAGTCTAGGAAAGAATAAAATAAAGATCTTCTAAGTTTACAGAAAAATAAGACTTCTATATCTGCACACTGTTTGTTTGGTAGGTCAAATACTAAGTCTTCTTGTTGATCCTTTCTGTGTAGCCTTTGTGGGTGAAAGGGAATGGTGTGTGATGAGACTTTGGTTTCGTCAAGCCAGATGATGAGTGGACCATTTGACAGTAACCAGCTGAACCAAAAGGAAAGGAAGGAAATTTGTATAATGTGTATAAGGAAAGCCAGTCAAATTCTGCGCCTGCTCACCTATTTCTTAGGCCAACCTCTTCTCTTGCATTCCAGAGATTACTGTTTCAAGCAGAGTGGGTCTTCTTCTCTTGTCTCTGTAACTGTATGGTCTGAGAAGACCTTATTCATGTGGATGGCAGGTACAAGCAATGTCACATGCAGTATAGCAAAGATTGGGTAGTGAGTTAGGGAATCACTACCAAACAAAGAAGGCATCAAGCTTGTTGTATGGTATACTGTGTATATACTTACAATGACAATAAATTATATATTATTATATTAAGCTTGCCATAAGCACTGAAAATGATTCAATGACGATGACAAATGTAATATAAAATAGTGCCTTCTACATAGATTGTGAGAGCAGTCCCTTTTGTATTAAAGGAAAGGATTAGTAATGAAAAGCACGCTTACTAAGAAAGACAATAATGCTGGGACAAGTTGAAGGCAGTAGGAAAAGAGGAAGATCTAATATGGGATAGCCTGACTCAACAAGAAAATCAAAGTTTGCAAAATACCACTGTTGATGATAGGACGATTTTGAGGTCACTAATTCTCAGGATCACTAGAAGTGCAAAACAACTTGATGGCACATTATAACTACCAGTGATATCAATAAACAATTCAATGAAGAGAGCTATTTTACAGAAATACTTTACAGTTGTTTAAAATTATTAAAGCTTCAAGCATATGTACACTCAACTGAGAATAAGTCTGCTGTAAGTACACAAATTTCATTATGAAATACAATGTTTTAATAAACATGTCATTTTCCACAGCCTCTTATAATGCTTATATTATGGTTGAGGGGTTTTTTCCACCTGAAGAGGCAAACTTAAGGTAAATGTTTTCAAAATTACCCTCTAGTGTGCTTCATCAATGTGGCTGTAGGTAAGTAATTTAATGAGTGTTCTGAGATGCAGAATTTTAATATATCACCACAGCCAAAAATAACATCACTACTATCTCCCTACAGCTTACACAGGAGTTTGCCATTAGATGTATAAAAAATGGTGCCAGATTTCTGAAAGCAGAAACAATTGGTCAACAAACTCATATAAGTAGAAAGGTATTAATGTTTCTGCAGTAAGAATGTTTTGCTAATATGACAGATTGCAGAGATAGAAAGAGATCATCTATGATGTGCTTTGAGAGATGGCTCATTATACTGGGCAGAAACAGTTTTAATGGGTAGAGTAATCCACAATGGTTTCCACTGACTATCAGAGTATTCACCTTTCATTTGTTAATTGAAAATACTAGAATACAAAATATGTACTACCTTATGGCTAAGGGGCTTTCCATCTCCAAGGGGTTTGCCAGATAAGGGATCAAACAGGTATATAACTATATTTTTAAAGAAATAGAGATAAAAAACAACAGATTATTAAACTGATTTCACAAATGTCTTATTGTAATGAATGTAAGTCCGTGTACAGGAACTTTGGTTGGCTTTACTCTTTAGTTCCTAGAGTTCAAATTTTATGTAAACTGTATCTCTTAGTTACTGCTTTTGGGATATCACTGCTAATCATAGCAGAGGAGAGATGTTAACTCTATTGAACTGTCCGTCCAATGCATTTCAATGAGAGAAAAAACAAAAAATCACCAAAAATTAAGGACGCATCAGAACAACACCAAATTAAGTTTGCATAGGTTTCAGGAGATGGGCTAATGATAGCAAGCATTTAAAACAGGTTTCAAACAGTTTAAGGCACTTTTACAGGAGCGAAAAGGGACATCGGAAAGGGCTCTTTGATCTCCGTTTCCCTGCTTTTGAAGCTCTTTCCGATGTCCCTTTTCACTCCTGTAAAAGTGCCTTAAACTGTTTGAAACATGTTTTAAATGCTTGGCATCGATAGTCCAGCTTGTGAAACATATGCAAACTTAATTTGGTGTTGTTCTGAGGCGTCCTTAATTTTTGGTGTTTTTTGTTTTCTCCATTGAAAGCCACTGGACGTAGTATAGATCTGAAGTTCTTAAAAGTTAGCAGTGTAATCATAAGCATGTTTACTGAGAAGTGGGCTGTATTAGATTCAATAGCATTTGTTCTCAGATGTGTTCAGGAGTCTATTTGAAAGATAATGCAGTATATATTTTTTATTAATAGACACTGATTCTAATTACTAGAAAGTATGGTTGCTGCAAACTGTTTTTGAAACTTCTGAGTTTTAAAATCAATACACTATTAATTAGGAAAGGCATTGCTGTTCAAGATAGGTGTGCATAGAGCTGCTGATTGCAGCTAGACAATCAACAACAGAGTTCTACTCTATTAGCATTTAGCTATCTTTTCAAAATTGTATATCATGCATATTTAACCCCTTTTTAACTATGTTGAGGATTCAGTAATCTGTGGAGGAGTGGTGCAGGATGGATATATGATACCATGTAAAAGATTAATGACACAGTATTAACAAATTTATATAACAAAACAATTAATTCCACACACATTTTACACACTTTACCATCATGTGCCAAATTCAGTTTATCATATACCGTTTATATTCCATGTAGCATGTATGTTTAACTTTGAAAGACCATTCAATTTGCATTTCATGATAGTAACATGAGTTTCTTTTAGAAGGATACAGGATATTGGTTTGCAGTCACTGGTTATATTGGCAGGAAAATTGATGTTAGGAGAACAGGTGCTGTTCTGATGTTGTTGGTTGCATATGAAAAGGAAAAAGAAGGGCTATGTCCAATGCTAGTTTGAGCCAGCTGTGTAAACAGAGGCAAGTAACTTGGGACTTGGGATAGTGCCGTGCTCTCTTTTTGATGTCAGTTTTCTCTTGTCACAGTCACTGATTAAGCCTTTTACTAAGACCAAAACTTCTTACTATCACAGAGTCTATTTTTTAAAATAAAATGATATAAAATATATGTGTTACAAATGCAAAATTAATTCAAACAGAAGATGAAATAAGAGCTGAAGTTAAGAAGAGCAACTCATATCATTTTTGGCACTCAGCTTTTCTTTTTCTGGATAAAGGTGGAGATGGGAGTATGAGGGGCAAAATATATGACCTACACTGTACTGTGGGCCAATGAGAGTGACAGATTTCTAAGTTGTACCAAGTTGTGTCACAAATATTTTATGTCAGGCAAAAACAAAAGAAAAATTAAAAATAAAGATGATAAAAAGGTCATGGCACCTTAAAGACTAAGCGTAATATTTTAATGTAAGCTTTTATGGACAAGTCCAGTTCTTCCCTGTTTTCCTTCTACCAGTCAAGGGCCATTCTGTTCAAGCAGGCATTTAAAAAGTGACTGGTTGCCAAGGAAGAAGTTTCAAATTTTTTACCCTTTTTTTAACCTTTTGAAATATGCTTTAAAACTTTTTAAATTTGTTTTTTTGCTGTTTGCTTTTTTTACAATAATATAACTTGTTTTTAAATAATGTAATTCAACTGTATTTTTACTTTTATCTGTCTTTCAAAAGATCAGCTGCCTTCAGCTTATCTGGAAGAAAGATGGGGTATAAATAAAATGAATAAATGAGTACTGCCCTTAGAAGCTTCCAAAAGCAGGAAGTAACATTTTTATAAGTGCATGCACTCCATTTGTTTTTCAGCAGAGTGGCATGGGAGCCTTAAGAACACATATAAAGGCCTTAGAGGGGGATGAATGTAGCCATGGATGATACTTTGCTCACCCTGAAGTTTGGTTTAAAAGTGGGACCACTTGCGTACCCTGACAGAGCTTAAAACTCTGTGTTTTTAGGCTCACAGAGGAGTAATAGGTTTCTTTAATGTGCATGTGCTCGGCAGCATACCTGAAGCAACTTTTTAAGAGGAAGTGGTTATAAGAAAAACAGTTGGTGGAGTGGCATAGTAAGACATAGTCATCATGAAGCTTTTTTGCCATCTATTTTTATAGTAGAAAAGTTTCTTAACATGCTAACTGGAATAAAAACACAGGAAAAAAGCTGCAGTCTTGTGGCATCTTAAGGATTAACAGATTTTATCTGGCATGAGCTTTCACCTTGTTTCATCCAATACAAACCATGACCCCATAGACTGCTCCCCAGTGGGCCTCAGTCCACAAAAGATTACACCAAATACAGCATGACAATCTGCAAGACTCGTTTTGATTTTGTGCAACTGACTAAAATACCTACCCCCAACCCAAGAAAATACTTTACTCAAACTATGAAGTAAGTTCTGAAAGGGTTATTGGATTTGCAATGCAAAGCACACAAATACCTTTTAAGGTAAGACACCATAATTCAGTAGCAGGACATAGGATTTTTATGGCTCCAGCTTACATCTCTGTGAAATGATCTCGAGCAACAAAACTAGGAAAGATCTTTGCCAGATACCTTGGACTACCAAGTTTGACAGAGCATGATAGAACCCAACATGCAGCAGCCTTCTACTCTGTAAAGTTCAAACCTCTTTTGAACTTTAAACAGAAAAGAGTTTCCATCACATTATTTTCAACTTATAATTTACTCTAAAGAAAACACAATTTTGTGCATAAATACAAGTCATTTTTAACTGAATGTATATCATACCTTTTTCATCAGATTTGTCTCTTACTGCTAAAGTATCATTACTCAAAGATATGGTTTGAGCACTGAGTACATCAGTTCTCATTCCTGGAAACCTTGGTGAAGAAATGAAACGTCCTTCATAGGAATATAGATAGATTCCTCCACCATCTACAAGAAGAAAATGCCTATAAATAAAGGGAGGGGCAATTAATTATTTTCAAATAATACCATAAACATAGTAAGTCAAATTTAATATATTATTTCTGTATATACTATTTGCCTAATTTAATGACTTAGATTTGTATAAATATATTCAAACAGCAGCACTTGTAATCCAAGGCACTTTTAATATTTTCTACTCTGCACAATTTAGTTCCACATGATGCATAAAGGATTATATAAAATAGATACTATTTCATTCCTCCAAATGACTTGGCACAGATACAGAGCAATATTTACATGGAGCTACATTCCATATATGAGATTTTTCAAGGCTGATAGAGTAAAAACGATTGCTGTGTTAAATTATGGACTGTTCAAGTATTCTGAAATACAATACTATCAAACATCTGGTGCAGACATGCTATTTCCAACTACTTTATCACAGGTGTTGCTTCCTCCAGCTCTCTCCCTTCTGAAGTACACACTGCTGCTGTTTCATCTAGTGATATAGCACTTACATTAGAAAAGGTTAGGAAGAGTAAGATCACTACAGAATTCAAGAAATATAGAATACAGAAATGCAATTAGAAGTTTGCAGAAAACCCAGCTAGCTCTACGTGAGGTGAATACTTGTATTAAAACTGAAGTTGTGCAGGACACCCTTACCTTACACACAGCCATTCATCTCAGCAAAGGAGGAAGACATTACCTGCTGCTTTCAAGGAGGAGAATTTAACAAGAATTTTTGGGTTGGAAACTTTCTGCAGTTTATATGATGAAACCGTATTTTTCTTCTTCTGGGCTGGATGGGTAATAGTGGTGTTTCCGTTTCTGCCTCTGTTTATCCTTTTAAAAAGTCTTATGACTATATCTAATAGGCATACGGTTCTTTCTGCAGCCTTCCAATTGCATTTCTTCCTAGATACTCACAAGAATGATGCTACTTCACAAGGTGCCATTCTTGCCCATCTTCAAACAGGAAAATATTACTGAGTTCTGCAGCTGCTATGAACAATCCTAAGTCTTGTTTCAAAGTGGGAAATAACCCAGTAGGAGAAATGACCCTTCATACAAACTAATATAAATCAAGCTCAAAAATTTAAATTGGATTTCCCATTTCCTTTTCAATTGTGCTTTCTTTTTGTCCAAAAATTGCCAAAAATTAAAAATAAAAAGGTAAACCAAAAGATTTGGTGAGCTCTAATTAAAACCATTAACCAGGACAAGAATATCAACAATAAAAAGAACAGGGGAGGAAACAAAGGATGAATTACTGAGGTCAACTTTCCATTGTTTTCTCAAAGTTAAGTAATCAAGTGTTACATCGCCACCAGCTGTAGATTAAATTTACTTGGGGGAGATGCTGTTAAAATACACAGGATTGGACTGTAAATTGTTATCTTGTCTAATTTCCTCCATAGCCAGTCACATACAGGTACATGCACAGATTAATTTGTGTGTAACTGTAGTCATCTGTGAATTCATACTAATGGGGTTTGTTCTATGCCTGCATAGATATCCTTAGGAATCTTCCAGGGCCTATTAAAAAGTTGTTAGCCCCACTCTAACATTTAGCATATATTCCCCCACTCAACAACTAACACTCAGTTCCTATGTCTGCTGCTGACTCAAATGCAAAGCATGGCACACAGAGGTTGGGTGGGTTCTATGAATTCACAGATGACCACTCAAAGAGCTACATTTACAAATATGTAACCTATACTCCTCCTCTGTGGTCTCTGTGATTTACACTAACGGGTAATTAACAAACTCACTTATCAGCAATGATGAGATGTTAACACCAGTATTGATGAGATCACTAAAGAAGCATCAAGTTTTGCTCTGATATCCAGTCTATAATGCTTGATGAATGTCATGGGCTGAGACCATATGGCTGCCTTGCAAATGTCCTGCATCTCTACCCTTTTTAAGAAGGCCATAGAGGCAGCAAGTACCTTGGTAAAATGTCCTAGTTGGACTAGGTAATGGCATCTACAAGCCACTTGGATATCCTCTTGGAGGAAACATGATTAAGCCAATTTCCTTGGTTGCAGAAAAATAATCTTTTAGTTTTCCGATAAGCTTTGGTTCTTGACTCATAGAAGGTCAGTGCCCTACAGACAGCTAGTGAATGTAATGATTTCTCTTAATCTGTAGTAGGGGCCAGAAAGAAGATTGGCAACACCAGACTGTTATGACTTTAGGGAGAAAAGACACATATGTTGCAAGAATCACTTTCTCTCTAAAGAACTGTGGATCACAGTGCAACATTCCAAGTGCACTCGCCTATCTGACCAACATGACAGCAACCAGGATTACTGTTTTGTATGTTAATAAAACTCCAGGAGGCAGTAGAAGATAGGAGGGCCTGGCGTGCTCTGGTCCATGGAGTCACAAAGAGTCAGACACGACTTAACAACTAAACAACAACAAAAGAATCATAGAAAAGTGAAGTTGGAAGGGGCCTACAAGGCCATCAGGTCCAACCCCCTGCTCAATGCAGGAATACAATCCAAGCAATAGATGTAAGCCAGAAGTAGCTATTGGTTTCATCATCTGATAGAAAACCAAAGACAAAGACTCCTAAGGCAAAGATGTTTTAATATCCAAGTGGACGTTTTATAAGCCTCTTGGGAATTTCTTTAGGGTTTTATTTTTGAAAATATGTGATACCAATGAACTTGGTTTTCGGTTTTCCACAAAGGCTAAGAGGTAGGCTTTCAGTGAGTAGTGTGACAGTCCATTTTCTTTCAAGTGCAGGAGGAAGCATAGGACCATGTGCAGCAATGGGGGATGATAGTCTTCCCTAGTGAATCAGAAAATGTGACGAACATATCCCATTCATATTTGTAGGCTTTCCTTGTGGAAGGCTTTCTGACTTCAACTAGGATTCTCTGGATTTTCTGTTGGTGAATCTTCCATGTGAGCTTCAGTTGTTTTGAGGTCCAGTCAGTGAAATGTTCTGTTGTGCTGTAACATTAGATTTGGTACCATGGACAAACAGTAGATGTCATTTGCCATGTGCAAGAAAGCTGTTAATAATGGTTGATGAGGCCACTAGAGTGTTATGATTACCTTCTCCTGACTTAGCTTCACAATCACTCTGTGAGGCATTGGCAAGAAACGCAAAAGGTAGATTCATGGCCCATCGAACCATGAAGGCATCTCCCAGAGATCTTCTTCTGTGACCTGCCCAAATACAAAATTTTGGACACTTTGTGTTGTTCCCTGTCACAAACAAGTTTGTTTGTCTTTTCATCTATTGTTTCTTTTGTCATTAAGCAAACGTTAAGTCCTCAAATTGTACCTTTGAGCCATCCGTTATTCCAGAGGATCTTAGCCAAGTGTAGCAGCATAGTGCCACTGCTGCTGACAAGTTTTTTTGCTGCACAATCTCTGGAGTAGCAAGGCAAATAAATATGATGAGTAGCAAGCAAATAGGCTTCCTGCTGGAACGTAAGTGACAAGCTAAGGAGAAGAGGCTGTATTTTTTTTCCAGAGGAAAAGATGGACCTTGAAATGGCACGTCCTTTACAGTAATTTGCCATGGCTATCTGGCAGTTTGCAACCTGGATTATTAGGGCTGATGTTGAATAGATTCTGCACTCAATGGCATCAATCCTGCCTTCTTTATTTAAGGGTATCATTATATTTAGTCTCTTAGCTCTTGTTTGGGATTCTTCAACAATAATTGAATTGGGTTGTGGATGCCTGAAGAGAAAACTAGCTTATTTATCTTGTATTTTATGTAAGGTAGACAAGTTCAGCAGCCATCAAAGTGGAACTGAGTATTAGCCATTGGGTAGAGGGGGATGCACTAAGTGCTAAGGTGTGGCTAACAACTTTCTTCTAGGCTGTGGAAGATTCCAAGGACATCTGCATAGGCACAGAACAAACCCCATTAATGTGAATCAGATATTACAAAGAATAACCAAGTTTGCCTGATGTCACATTCATTACAAAATCTCTAGCCAACCTGGCTACTTTCCCATTTTCCAGAGTTGGAACCAGAGAAAGGAGGCAGGAATGTCTCTTGTTGTACCCAGGAAATGCAGATGTGAGACATACAGCAAGTTTCTGGCCACATTCAGGGTTGAGGAACGCACAAGGGTAATCTATAGTAATGTTTTCAGAAGGATTCTTAGGCTCATCTCAGTCACACAAGCCTGACTGACCTTTTGCCCACAGTGAGAAAAGTGAGTACTGCACGACTGTTGTCAAATCCTGCTGAAGCTGACAAATATTTGTTCCCACTGTCTTATACCATTTAAGCAGATATTATTTTAATCATGTAAAACAATTCTACAAAGAAATTGTGTTAAATGTCACAGGCAAGTTACCTTTCTGCTTGTAAAATCAAACTGACAGTTCCTTCTTTGAGATCAAAGATTAATGGAGTATTCCAGTTTTTAACTCTAAAACAAAGGGCAGGATAATGTTTATTAAAGGAAAAAAAATAGTTCACATATGTATTTTAATTCACACAGTGAGATTCTCAAAGATATTCTAGTTTGGAAAAATTATATGCAACAAAATCTGAAAGATAAAGAATATGGGTATTTGTCTTTCTGCATACAGTATTTTTAAAAGAGGATTAACTAATAGCTATTTCACATGTTTCAGGAAACACTGTAACACTTAATTACGGCTGATGGAATCATGATAAATATGCCTTCAGTGATACTCTCTTAAAAACTCTTAACTGCACACTAAACTTTGTTTTAAAGTATTTATAATTTAAAATGTTGTTCAAGGGGTTGGCAAATCGCAATTGAAGGGAAACACAGACCAAAGTAGTGCAGTTACACCAGGAGACAGGATTCTTAAAGCAATAACATACAGCCCCACAGTGAATGTTTCATTCATGGGAAAACCAATACATATAGCCAATCAATTATAATGTGCAATTACGAAAAGTTGGTATCACATTGCTTACTTTTATAGGGTATAACCATTAAACAATGGATGCTTCCCAAATCAAATCATACAGAAGCTATTATGCATTAAACCAAAATTTTTACAATTTATCAAATGATTATGTCTTGTTAATTCAAGCTGCTTACGAGAATATGTAACATTGAAGAGATGTTGAAACTACTAAATGCCCATAGTTCAAAGAAGCTTTAATGACTCTGTCACGAAATTCCAGTAAGTCCACTGCATCATTAAGTACATTACGAACCTAATGGAAACAAAAGGACAGAGTTAAATAAATCTCACATAATTCCAAACCCAAAACCAGAACAAAACATTAGCCTCATTTTTAACTCTAAGGACTGTACAAAATTGTTTTAAATAAAGTAAATAATCAACATTGCAATATTTAAAGTCATTAAATTCACATTATCATCCCCAGTTTTCTGACTGATGGCTTACTTTAATATTCTGGCATGTATTCATTTTTATAGAGTAACATGAAATTATTATTTTTAAGATTTGGGTTTTTTTTACTTATTCAACAAGCAGAACATTAATTAAAAATTCAAAGTATTATTAAGAACAAGAGTATAGCATAAATGGAATGCCACTAAATTTCATCAAGTAATGATGTACAGAATTCACCCAAATATCAGATTCTGATCATAGAAAAAGCTCCAGCTATATTTACCAATAATTTATTACCACAATTTTCTGAAATATCATTAGCACTGAGCACCAGCTATATTTACCAATAATTTATTACCAAGAAAACTATAAACACACAATTTTCTAAAATATCATTAGCACTGAGCATAATATTGCGGACCTTAGAAATGCTATTACCAGAGGGGAGAATATATAAGCTCTCCTATACTGCCAGGAGGCCTCAAATACTTAATAAAGACTGCACAATTATTAGAAGGGATAAGCAAACATGCAATATTCTATGCAATCATGAGGGTGCTGTAGTTGGTTGGTCAATGCACTCTATCTCTCTCAACTATTCTAGAGAATAACTTGAATCTATTTAACTTGGATACTGGTAAATATCATCTTCCCAATTCCCAAAGGCCTAACATATAGCAGTTTGTGTCCCAAATATCTTTGTTTGTTTGTTTATAGACCACTTGACTTAGTGCTGTACACTACTCTAAGTGGTTTACATCAATGAATAATCAACCCACATAAACCAAAATACAAGACCACAAACAAACATATGTTGCATTAAACCTAAATAGTGGCAGCAACAGGTCCACCGAAATCTAAATGGTGGAGGCAACTATAGCTTCTGTGAGAGAAAATAAACTGTTATCCTGTCTTTACAGGAAAAAGTCTCAGAGAACCAATTAGTACAGCAGGACCCCCATATCCATTGAATCAGCATCTGTGGATTCACTTATCTGCTGCTTGAAAGTATTAAATTTTTTTAAAAATTCACAGTGTATTTACCAGAACTAGTTACTAGAGGTAACCAGAGACAACACTATGTATAGTTGTGATTAGGTTTGTTAGTTGCTGAGTGCGACCCCTGTCTTGGCGCCGGAATAAGAGTCGGAGGCTGTTCCATATTCTTAACACAACTGGATTTATTTGTGAACAAGCTTAATTCCATAGGCTCAAACGGATCCATTAAACTAAGTTCTGGCAACGGATGATAACGACACACCTTAACATCAGGTGTTTGAATATCAGCTCTTACAGAGGGGCTGGACCAAATCGTTCCTTGTCGGTCATGGGCCTCAGGGGGGTGCTCCTCACTGCACACACCGTCCCACAATAGGGGTGTCTCTCCCAGTCTCCCTCTCCTTGAGGCTGGAGTAAAGAGGGACTGGGACGGATCACCCTCCTCCCCCCACAATGGTTGCGCGGGTACACCACCAGCGTCCATTCCAATGGATCAAATTCTTCCTCTCTCGCACGCGAGTCCTTGGGGTCCAGCAGGAGTCCACCACCAGCTCGTAGGTTTGGAAACTCTCTAAGCAGAGCAGAAAAGCCCTCCTGCCCGGCACTCCACTCCATCGGCATGGCCCGGTTCTTCTTGTCAGGGTGAGTGCCCGTTAGAATGTTAAAACTTCACGCGCCTTCCGTCTCCTTTATGTCCCCTTCCCAAACAATTAGATCTAGCTCCTCCCCTCTTTCATCAACTAGACACACCTCCAATCTCTCTTGCTCCTCTACCGGCTCCTGCTGTTTTCCACCAATACTCCTTCCACACATCCCTGCCCCTCCTCTGCAACTTGCTGTGTGGAGGACGGCATACTCTCTCTTTCTCCTTCACGATAGTGCTTGCTACTTGTTTGGTTTTTGGTGTCCATAGGGGAGGGCTTGGAGCCAATCCTGCATGGATACTGCAGTTCTACTCTACTTCATTTAGTAAATTAAAGAGTGGTTTGTGAGAAATCCTAATAGAAACTGACATAAAGGGGATAATTGCTCATTCCAAACAAGAAAACATAAGTAAAAACTCAAAATATAAAGGTAATACTTCTCTAAACTATTTATAAGCAGTAAATCAGGACATATCCAGTAGAGGTCTCATCAGTTCTAGCATTCTAATTGCAGAACCATGTAAAGAAAATAAACGAGGTAAAAAGTGCCATGCTAAATGCACATTTATGTCCCCCCAAAAAAAACCCCCTAAAAGCAGAAGGTGGGGCAGAATTTTTGTCTTCAGACAACCTTAATGCAAGAATTTCAATTATACATCATTATTCAGATATACAGTTCTACTGAAGACTCTAAAGCAATATTTCCCTATGAAGCTGTGAGCTAAATAAAATTAAAACTACTGGGATTACTAGACAGTCATTCATTGCAATCTGATGTCTGAGAATGAATGTAAAAATATGATTTTTACCTGCCAATTTATCTTCTATATTCCCAGACACTGACTCATAACATCCCACCCAGTGGACAGATGGGTAATATAGAATTTCTGTTGTTGCAAGTTTTCCCAATTATGTATTCAGCATCAAAGAAGACTTCACTTCAAGCCAAAAGATATTTAGGTGCCTAATTATAGATTTGGGAGCCCAATGTTGAGCACCCAGTCCTGAAAAGCTTGACCTGAATTTTAATACTGAGGATGTAATTAGGAAAACTTGTAACAACAGAAATTGTATATTGATTTCATGTCCTCTGGGTGGGATGTTATGAGTCAGTGTCTGGTCATGGAAGTCAGAATGTTGAGCAGGTTTTTTAAAAAAGCATTTATTTTCAGATATTCATTTCAGTTTTTTTTAATTCATAATATACTTTAAGAAATGTTGAAACTCAATGTATGGAGTTACCCATTTGTGTCCAGAGCAGTGGCCTGGGATGCTGAAAGAGCAGATCCAGGTCACACGGCAGCCGCCATGTGTTCCTCGCTGGCTGCCAAGCAAGGGAGGCTGGAAGGCTGGATGCTGAATTTGGCTGCCTCTCATTGGCTCACAGTATACTGAGCCGGATGCCTCATGGCAGGGAGACTGGAGTGATGAAGGCTTTACTCTGTTCTACCTCTCCTGAATAAAAGTGGGAGCTCTGAAGCTTCCCACCCAATCTGTGGCTTGCTGGCCTTGGAAACGGATTAGCAAGTGAAGAAGAAGTGAAGACTAGAACAGAGGTACCATAGTAGTGGTCAGAAGTGGTGGAAAAGACCAGAAGATGGCAGTTGACGCAACATGGTCTGGCAGTAGCAGAGACAAGTGAAAGAAGCTCGGAGACAGCAGTGGCAATGACAGTATCAGGGAAAGGGAGGACGCCAGGGAAGAGTAGACCCAGAACATAGAAAATGGGGAGGAATATAAATTGAAACTTAATCCAGACAAGACAGAGGTGGTCCTGGTCAATCAAAAAACAGGTGAAGGATTAGGGTTGCAGCCTGTGCTGGATGGGGTTACACTCCCTCTGAAAACAAAGGCACACAGCTTGGGGGTGTTCCTGGATTCATCTCTGAGCCTGAATGCCCAGGTTTCAGAAGTGGTCAGGAGTGCCTTTGCACAGTTAAAACTAGTGTGGCAGCTCTACCCATTTCTCGAGAAGTCTGATTTGGCCACAGTGACACATGCCCTAGGTACATCTCAGTTGGATTACTGTAACACACTCTACATAGGGCTGCTTTTGGAAACTATTCGAAAACCTCAAAGGGTCCAAAATGTCACCACCATATTGTTAACTGGGGCTGGTTACAGGGAACATGTGACACCCTTGTTAAAACTGTTCCACTTGCTGCTGATCTATTTCCGGGCTCAATTAAAAGTGCTGTTTTTAACTTATGAAGCCCTAAAAGTTTGGGTCCAAGCTATCTAAAAGACTACATCTACCTCTTTGAGCCTGCCTGGGCATTAAGATCATCAGGGGAGGCCTTTCTCTCAGTCCCACCACCCTCACAGGTGCACTTGGTGGGGATACAGGAGAGAGCCTTCTCTGTTGCTGCTCCCAGACTCTGTAACTCATTCCCACGGGAAGCTAGGCTTGCCCCATCTTTGTTGTCCTTCCGCAGGCAGGCAATCACCTTACTCTTCAGGCAGGCCTTTCCTTAATGGCTGGTGGTTTGAGAGGCATTTTAAGTGGTCTGTTCTGCTATGTTGTTTTAAATGTGTTTTAATATTGATCTTAGTTACCATTTTAATATACTTGTATAATTATTTTTAAATATTTGTATACTGTACTTACTGTTTTAACTTTTAAATACTGTTTGAATGATGTAAGCCACCTTGGACCTTTTGGGGAGGGAGGGAGGGAGGGGAAGGGAGGGAGAGAGAGAGAGAAAGAAAGAGAGAAAGAAAGAAAGAAAAGAAAAGAAAAGAAAGAAAAGAAAAGAAAAGAAAGAAAAGGTTGCCAACTGGGGTATATGCCTACATACCTCAAACAAAAAGGCTCAAAATTTAGACATGCTTGGCCATCTTGAATCTTAAGGCACACAGGCCGGGGAGTGGGATACAACTAATTTTGAAAACTCAGTGGCTACATTAGTGGGATGGTGAAAAGGTAGCATTTTGGATTATTTATAGAGGATGCCATCAATACCACCATTTTCTTACTTGTTCCTAGAGAATGCCCACAAAAAATATATATGGGTTTACTTGCAATTAGCTGTACATTGTGTAATCATGTGGGGGTCAAATTTTAACTGTAATTTTGAAACTGCACAGAGTAGTATTTCCACTAAAGGGGCAGTATAGCAAACAAACAGACAGACAGACCAAGACCCCCAGGTGGGGGCATAAATATATATACAAACACAAACACAAAAAAGGGGAAGAATGGATTTCATCAGGGAAACGAATGAGCAGATTTTAAAAGGATGGAAGGGCCTTAAGGAAGCACAGTAACCAGATCTTGGGTCATGCATCATCACTTGGGTAGGGGCACTACTAATAAGGAGACCATGTCACTCAAGAGGAAAGGACCCAGGGTTGCAACCCTAGTGGAAACCAATCCCCTACTCCACATCAGGAGCCAGACAGGTCAGGAAAGGAGGTTTTAGGCCCTTCTTTTAGGCCCCAAGAGGCTACACCAGAAGATAGCAGTAGCCAGGCTTTATTCTAATTCCTACTGTCCTATCCAAATTGGGGTCATCAAGAGTCGGACACGACTTAACGACTAAACAACAACATTGTCCTATCCAAATTGTAAAGCAACCTTGTACCTCTGGGAAGATTTTAATCAAGGTTTTACAGTCTCTTATATGGGTCCAAGAGAGGATGTTGCCAGAGGTAGTAGCAACCAAGATTAATAAGGAGCTTTTGGCTGGGCACAAAGTAGGCCCTTTCCCTCCCCCTCCCCCAGCCACCAAAGGGTCTCTCCCTTGGGTATTGTCCCTAAAAAATCCACAGAGGAGTTCCAGTTAATTAACCACCTCACCTGTCCCAAGTGGTTATCAGTTAATGATACTATTGCTCCAAAGTATAGTAGAGTCCATTACGCATCTTTTGACCATGCTGAGACCTTGGTCAAAAGATATGGCCCCCAGGTATTGCTTGCCGAATGTGAAATCCAGTCAGCCTTCTGGTTGCTGCCACTCCACCTGGAGAATTTTTATTGCTGGGATTCAAGTTCCAGGGCAGCTACTATGTTGACAAATCCATGCCCACGGGCTGTGCCACCTCTTGTGCTGCATTTAAGACATTCAGCACATTCCTGGCTTTGAAGATGAAGTCTAGGCCTAAATCTGAGTTAGTCATGAACTATTTGGATCTCCTTGAGAAACATGTGTGGACTCAGGACCTTTGCAAGGTGGACATTTTTAGGCAGAAAATGACCAGGGTAGTTGGTTGCATAGTATCATCCTGGGGTGGCAGTTGGTTATGGTACACTGGTATCTCCAAAAAGCTGAGTGCACATATTAGACTGGGGACAGGATGCGTAGCTCTCCTGAAGATGTTCAGGAAGTCATGGCAGATTGGTTGCAGCTACATTTTCCTGGAGGGATTTGAGTGGTGTCCAGTTCTTGTGGCAGTTAGGGCACTGGGGTGGATTCCAGGTGGTGTTGGGGTGGCAAGTAAGAAACTGTACCTTCTGAGTATAGAGGGATCCCCTTAAGGGGAGCTGGCATTTGGTCTCGCCCAACTCAAGGGACAAAAATCCACCTCTGTCCCCACATGGCAAGGAGCCATGGAATAGCATATGCCTGTATGGTCTCTGAGAAACTCTCTTTCATGGTGCTGACCCTCGGCAATCCACTGATGGATAGTGGTGGCATCAAGTGGCACTCAGGTCTCCCGATGCAATGGATCCATTCCCAATGTTGGACTGGGTAACTGTTGCTGTAACCAATAAACCTCTGTCCTTTACTCTGAAAGAGTGCAGGTTGTGTTTATTGTTCTGTATGTCCAGGGGGCCCAGGGCTGCTCAGCTTTAGGCCAACAAACATCATAGCAGTACCTATTTCAGGTCATGCATCACATATAGCACTATAACCTTTTAAAAACAGCAAATATTTTCTAAGAAATGTCACCATAAGAAAATATTTAATGGGATCTAGCATGAGATCTTCTAAAATATCTGCTGTTAGCAACATGATGATAATGTTTTAAAATATCTAAGCTCTTTGATCAATACAAATTAATTCAGTAACTAATAGTAAAAACAATACATAGGAGATATATTACCAAGCTGAAAACAAATCATAACCTGGGCCTGAAATATTCTGAACAAAGATTCACCAATACATGTAATCATGCTTTGGGGTGGGTGGGTACAACTTGGCCCATTTCCTGATTCAGAGATCAAAGAAAACAGACATTTGCTACTACTGTTCTTGGCAGAAAATCCTATGGTACTGTAACAACCAACAATGTTGCAGCTGCTGTAATGGCAAGCTACAGCTATATTCAAGGCAAGGGTTTAAGGCAACAATTTGAGGCTATCTATCCATGGACTATTATGCTATTGCTTCTACAGCTGAGCCTTTGTTACCAGCTGCTGTGAAATAATTTGTAGCATAAACAAGACCTTTGATTTTGAATTTTCAGCCACTGCAGTATTTTGGACTATAATTCACAGTCCATTTACTTTACAATACCCTTTCTAATATCAGTAAGATCATGGTGGTTTGTGAACATTCACTTCAGTTCATAAAGACGTCAGTCAATGTGCTCATTTTACAGGAAACATACTGAAAGCTGCCTTAACCTACCTAATTATGGATCTGATCTCTCTGGAGGGATTTAACTGGTCAAAGAGACAGATGTCACTATTAATTCATTTCATTTGCAACACAAAATTGGTACTCAGAAGGTGCCCAAAATACTGTCAAAAATTTATGCTCACTACCTTTGTGAGACATGTATTTAAGAAATATTCTAATACTCACAAAACATCCAACACTTACCTCCATCGTTCTTCTTTTAGTTAATGTTATTTCAAAGTTTTTCCACACCCATCGTTGTTCGACAACATGGGCAAAAATCACATGTCCATTTCCACAAGCACCAGCTATTTGTGTGCCATCAGTAGACCAAGCAATATTAAATATGCTGCCGGTGTTTGGTTTCTCTAACGCATAGGACCACTGCAAAATAATTTTACATAGAAGAATTTTAGTCATAATGAATATATAATACATACATTACACATTAATTAATACTGCGGGTCTGTATACCAATGGCACCTTTGTCTTAAATATAAATATATTTCTTAAATTATGGGAAACTATAACCTCTCGGGTGGGATAGGAACACTTCTGTTTTCTGTTCAGTGAAAAAAAGATTTGAAAATAAATCAAATAGGAGGAAAAATAAATCGTTACATGGACAACACCTGAAAAATATTGATAGAAAGCATGATAATAATTCATCATGAGCATGGCTAAAACTAAGGACCATTAAGAAAGAAACAGAAGACTTGATTTTTGCTGCACAAGAACAAGCACTCCAAACCTATGTGATGAAAGCTAAGATTCAAGGAATTAGTGCTAACAGCAAATGTCGACTCTGCCAAGAAAAAAACGAAACTGTGTCACACATCATCTGTGAATATCCAAAGATTACACAGATTACAAAATTAGACATGATAGAGTGGCAAAATTAGCACACCCGTCACTGTGCAAAAAGAAATA